TCGAGAACAAGATCAAAACCTTGAAGAGAAGATTACATCGGGTGTGTGGGTGTGTGTGAGGGTGTGTGTGCGGGTGTGTGTGAGGGTGTGTGTGTGTGGTGTGTGTGTGTGTGTGTGTGTGTGCGTGGTGTGGGTGTGTGTGCGTGTGTGGGTGTGTGTGTGCGTGTGTGGGTGTGTGTGTGTGGGTGTGTGAGGGTGTGTGTGTGGGTGTGTGTGAGGGTGTGTGTGTGTGGGTGTTGGTGTGTGTGTGTGTGGGTGTGTGTGTGTGGGTGTGCGTCCTTGTGTGTATGCATATATTTGTACGCTCGTGTGCACATGTCCGTGCGTGCGCCCTCGTGTGTGTATGTGCGCGCGCGCGCGCTAGTGTGGGTGTATGATCTACTTAATATTTGTATTTATAACTCATTACAATTGTGACCAGGTGTGGACGTATCAGTGGTTCATTACTTCGTAATTTGTTCATGACTGTAACCTGTATAGGAGTGAAGCTGATTCATTACCTCTGTAACTTGCCATGATTAGTGACCAGATCTACCTGGAGTTCATTACCTTTGTAACTAGTTCAGCTATCATAACTTTGGGGTCCAGTCACTGGACCCATTATGTACCTTTGTAATCTTTTGACTACCGCCCACAGGATGGGTATGGGGTGCATAAAGATATTAAACTAAAGTGTGTGTGTGTGTGTGTGTGTGTGTGTGTGTGTGTGTGTGTGTGTGTGTGTGTGTGTGTGTGTGTGTGTGTGTGTGTGTGTGTGTGTGTGTGGTGTGTGTGACTCAACAATCAATATTTGCACCAATAACTCATTACAGTTGTGACCGGGTGTGGAAGTGTGAATTGCTCATTACTCTATAATTTGTTCATGATTGTAGCCAAAGTATAAACGTAAGTAACCATTCTACAGAATTCATTACCTTTGTAACTTGTGAGCTCATTACCTTTGTACCTAGTTCAGCTATCAAAACTTTGGGGGCCCAGTCCCTGGACCCATTACGTACCTCTGTAATCTGTAAATACCTTTGTAACTTGTCATGATTGTGACCAGACTTACCTGGAGTTCATTACCTTTGTAAATTGTGAGTTCATTACCTTTGTAAATTGTGAGTTCATTACCTTTGTAAATTGTGAGTTCATTACCTCTGTAACTTGCTCAGCTATCAAAACTTTGGAGTCCAGTCCCTGGACCAATTATGTACCTCTGTAATCTTTTGACTACCGCCCACAGGATGGGTATGGGGTGCATAATAAACATATTAAACTAACTGTTGCCTGGGTGGCGGCGGTGAGGGGGGTTGATGATACACTGGCGTCCTGCTGGGTAGACAAGTTGAGTTCTAGGGTCCTTGCTGTTATTCTTTTATTACTGATGTTGTTTCTTCTGCGATATCCTTTCATAGTATCACTGAAGTAGATACTGTGCAGCAATGGAGGAGAAGGCTTGTTTTCTCGGAGCTTGGGGTTAAGTGATTGTCTGGCAGCGTAGGCAGTGTTTGGGTTAGCAGGGCTGTCTTCCTTAGATCTTCTAATTTTGTCAAGATTTGGGTTACATTCTTAGTATTCTTGGGTCATGTTGTGGTCTACGTGGGTTCATGTAGTTGATCTTTCACTTAGGCCATCACAAGTTTTGATGAGCGATGTTTTTTTTTTGAGAAAGAAGAGCTGGTAGGATACCGTTGCTGCCGCTGCCGCCGAGGATGAGGTATATAATCTATATACAGTCCACAATTAATTAGTAGCGCCGTACTTGTGGGTGCTATCCAATTTATACTGGTCTCAGACAGATATGGATAAGATTATGAGGCCGAAGGGACCACCTGCAGTGACCAGGGGTAGTTAAGTTTTCTAATGTCTACACGGGGTGACAACGGTAAACAATATGGTTGTTGTCTCCCAATGAGATTACTCGTATGCATGTAATGTTGAGGTACATACAGGTAACACCACTATAAAAATTTTCCATAGGGTGCATAATAAACATATTAAACCTACTACATTATGTTTGGTAGCAGAGCAGGTGTTACACAACCTAACATTAAGATCAACAACACTCTAATTGCCAGTCATAATGAGGGCAAATTCCTAGGTCTATACCTCGACAACAACCTAAATTTCAGCACCCATATCCAACTCACAACAAAAAAAGTATCCAAAACGGTGGGGATCCTCTCCAAGATACGATATTACGCGCCACAAACTGCCATTCTCACATTATACCATTCACTCTTTTATCCATACCTATCCTATGCTATTTGTGGAAAATTGCATTTATCTGAATGTAACTAATTATGTACATAACAGTAAATGATAACAAAGATAATTATTATTTATCAATGTTACATAGACAAGTAGAAATTTGGAACACCTAGGTCGTAAAAAATGTCCCCCTTCGATACCTACCACTGTCATAAACACAAGTTGCTCTGGACCTATTAATTAAATGAAATATACATACACCAGGAATACTGGTAAATATATAAATTTGTGGACTGTATATTAAAAATAATAAATAGTTATATATATACACAATTACATAACAGAAGGAAAATATATCTTAATATCACTCACCAATTTGACTGGAGATTAATGTGTATCATACTCAGAAAACCTCACTCTAACTAAATCTATGAAAATAATGCTGGCCAGAATTACACACAAATCTAGAGAGCTTATCTGAGGTTCCTGGAGCTGTCTTGTCCAATCGTCTGATATCTCAATTTATGCAGGAATGCACATCCACCAATTTCGCCTCCTATTTGAGAGGTGTCAACACAATTTTAACCTCTAGAGCACGAAAAATTCTTCCCATTACACGAACGTTTGTACAAAATTCAAAACCAAGACGGCAAGTCTCCTGCCCAGACGCAGGCTTTCCGTTTTCTATGACAAATATTATTAAATACAGTATAGGCCATCTATTTACCTATAAATTACCGTATTTCCGGAAAATATATACAGTATTTTCCACACTATTTGTGCTTGGGGATCAACTGCAGCAACACACCTAAAGCCAATAATAACCCAACAAAAAGCCGCAGTAAGAACACAAACATCTCTATGACATTCCCCGTGTCTGACTAAACCTTTACAAAAATTCAATGTGTGTCAAAGGGCCTAAAATCTGGAACACCCTACCTGAAAACTCTAGAACTGCAGACACATTCATCACTTTCAAAACTACAGTTAGAAAACATATTATCTCCTGATACACCCCGTCAACTAACTACATAAAAAACACCTGGTGGTTCACACTTATACTCACTCACCCACTGACTATAAACACAGAAATACGAATCTTAATCTTAAAATAATGAATCCTAACTAGTCATATGTTTGCCTATGATACTCCAATATAGACACTATGTATTGTGCCAAAACAAAAGAATTCACATTGCTAAACTCACAAACTATAATGTAGTTACTTAGCCTTAATACCATAATCTGTAATAATTTAAAGTTAAGAATTAATCTAAGTCTGCCCGAAATGCCTAGCCATGCTAGGTGTCCTAGTGGCCCCCTCTGTAATTAGTATTTTAAAATATGTAAACCACACAATATCCAAAATCTGCAAACCCCGCATTGTAATTCTTATAGAGAATAAACTTGATTGATTGATTAATTGATTGATTGAACTAAGTCCTCAATCTTGTCCCCCAGGATGCAATCTACACCAGTCGACTAACACCCAGGTACCTAATTGCTAGGTGACCGGGACAACAGGTGTAAGGAAACATGCCCAATGTTTTCACCCTTGCCGGGATCGAACCACGGATACTCTGTGTGTGAAGCAAGAGCGTTGTCTATCAGGCCAAGGGCCTGGTTTAAATAATACCATCCTTCCCAGGCGACGTGGAGTTGCCGTTAGTGCTGCATCGAGTTCAAAGTTAGTGAAAGGAATGTTAGTCATCTTCCTTGCTGATCATTCATTAATGTTTCCCAGTCTGCTTGTTGAAACTTTTAATGTGTAGTGAGTGGTTGCTGGGCAGATATGTGGGGCCGGGGAAGGGCGCTTGGACTGTGAACGAGTGCGGGGACCGGGGGCGGGACCCGGTCGGGTCTTGGGTGGGGTCCTTGGTCTTGTTCTATGGGGGTCCCGGGTCCATTGGCGGGGGCCCCGGGCGCCCAGCCCTCCACTCGGGGGCAGCCTTGGAGTCTGGGTCCGGGACCGGGACCCAGACGTCAGTCCGCCTCCAGCCAGTGTTGTATGAGTGTTGTTGCAGCTGCTGCTCCTCATTCTCTTGCATTATGTCTCAAACTTTGGCTAATATGATTGCTGATAACAATACGCACTTCTTCGAGGGAGTGGAGAAGCTGATGGAAGTGTGGTTCACTCGGAAGGATGGAATAACTCTGAACTGTGATCTGAGGAAAATACCAAGGTAGGATGATGACTTAGGTTCACTTTTGTGTATCGAGCCGCGGCGTTGCCATGTTCCTCCTTCACACTTCTCACCTTCCTCCTAATATACTTTAATCCCTCCTTTCGTATACCCGGGAGAATCTTGATGCTATAGTGTTTTATGCCTGTTAATGTAGCTGTGGTGGGTAATAAATAAGTATATATATTTTGTGAATATGAATCGGGTGGTCCTTGTGAGGGTCTGCTCGCCCGGCATGCACTTTATTCATGTTTATTATTCATGTTTAGAATTTTGCAATTGTTTTAGGGTAATTGGTATCTTAATTAATCGAAGGTTAGCCGGTAAAATAATTGTTACTTATTACCTTAAGGAGAGCAACATAAAAAAGGTAATAAAGGGACACGGCGGTAGGCTTACCGGCCCATGCTGGTCTGCTGCTCTAACCTAACCCTTTAATGGCACTACTTGCATCATAATATTAATTATACACAATACCAAGAAGTAGATGATTAAGACGTGGTCAGCCTTTATGTCGTGGATGACACATGTACTGTACAGGATTGTTAACGAATCCTGTAGCGAAACTTCCTATAATAAATGTCATGAACTATACATGAGAGACCTTGTTTACAGCTTGTCTGTATCACTATAATTTACTTTTCCACAGCTTCTGTCCCCGATAATTAAGTCACCTCTGTAGTCAACTGTTATACATAGTATAACACGTGTAAATTACCTAGGATAACCCCAAAAAGATATCCATCTGTTAGTAAGTAAGTAAGTAAGTTTATTCAGGTATACACAATACAGTTACATAGAATTATCATACATAGCAGCATATGTGTAGAGAACCTAGGATAACCCAAAAAAGTCAGACAGAGTGACTTATTTCCATTGGGGTCCTTTGCCAGTCTTGCTCATCAACTCCACTTGGTTTATCAAACTAATCCTAAGTTCAGTTCTACATCGTTTATAAAAACTTTTAAAAGTTTATATATATACACCAGCTCACTGATCCAGTAGATAATGCCGGTCATACAGAGTGATGATGGTTCACACATATTATAGAAACACATCAACACTTCCACTTCTACTCTTCAAATTGAACTGTTTACAACAAATTTGTTTCAAGCCAACCATACCTTGCTAAAATATAAGGTAATATTAGTAATTCAAAACCATATATTAGCTATATTAATGTTTTTGTACTCACCTATTTGTGGTTTCAGGGGTCGAGTCTTAGCCTCAGGACCCGCCTCTTCACTTCTGAGTTTGTCATTATAAATAAATCATTATGATTGTAACCAGATATAAACATGATGATTGTAACTAGATATGAACATGATTATAACCAGATATAGACATGATTGTAACTGGATATAAACATGTTAATACATCATTACCATTATCCGTGGCCTGGTGGCTAAAGCTCTCGCTTCATGAACACCGCTACTTCCGGGTTCGATTCCTGGCGAGGGTAGAAACATTGGGCGTGTTTCCTTACACCGGTTGTCTGTGTTCACCCATCAGTAAAATGAGTACCTGGGTGTTAGTCGACTGATGTGGGTCGCATCCTGGGACAGAACTGACTTAATTTGCCCGAAATGCTCATCATAACAAGCGGCTTTCTGTGTAGTAGTATATCATTGATGTCAGCTAGGACTGTATACCTTGTACATGTACTTGTAGTAAATAAAGATATTATTATTATTATTATTTTTATTATTATTATTATTATTATTATTATTATTATTATTATTATTATTATTATTATTACTACTACTACTACTACTTGCTTAGCTGTCAAAACTTTGTTTTCCGGTTCCTGGACCCATTATGTGGATGGGTTGGGTGTTGGTGTTTGTTACTAGTCAAAGGTACTTGCCGATAGAAAATGGCTAAAAAAATGTATCAGTCAATCAAGTTTATTCTCTATAAGGATTACAATGTGGGGTTTACAGGTTTTGGATATTGTGTGGTTTACATGTTTTAAAATACTAATTACAGAGGGTGCCACTAGGACACCTAGCCTGGCTAGGCATTTCGGGAAGACTTAGATTAATTCTAAACTTTAAATTATTACAGATTATGGTATTAAGGCTAAGTGACTACATTATAGTTTTTGAGTTTAGCAATGTGAATGCTTTTGTTTTGGCACAATACATAGTGTCTATATTGGAGTATCATAGGCAAACTTATGACTAGTTAGGATTTATTATTTTAAGATTAAGATTAGTATTTCTGGGTTTATAATCAGTGAGTGAGTGAGTGTAATTGTGAACCACCAGGTGGTTATCATGTAGTTAGTTGTCGGTGTGTATCAGGGAGATAAGATGTTTTCTAACTGTAGTTTTGAAAGTGATGAATGTGTCTGCAGTTCTAGAGTTTTCAGGTGGGTGTTCCAGATTTTAGGTCCTTTGAAATACATTGAATTTTTGTAAAGGTTTAGTCAGACACGGGGAATGTCATAGAAATGTTTGTGTCTGGTGTTATGCCTGTGGATCCTGTCACAACTATCAAGAAAGCGTTTTAGGGCAAGGTTAATATTGGAATTTAAGGTCCTGTAGATATAGATTGCACAGTAGTAAGTGTGGATGTTCTGAACAGGGAGTAAGTTTAGATCTATGAAGACGTCAAAACTTTGAAGATCTATGAAGATGTGTATGTTGGTGTTATTGTACTTGCCTGTAATGTACGTACATTTTAGTGGCGTTCTTTGTGCTTAACAGTATTTTACTACAGTAAACTACACTTTGTATGCTACACAAAGAAATATTGTTTGTTTTTTTTGTGTGTGTGTGTTTGCATGTATTTTGGTATCCATGGGTCATCCTAGGTAATTTACACATTTGTTACTATGTATGATAATTGTACTTATGCGTATCTGTACTTAAATAAACTTACTGGTAGGTTGGTAAGATAACATAAGATTTTCTTTGGATTTTTAACCCTGGAGGTTTGGCCACTAAGGATAACCTTGTACATGTACTTGTAGTAAATACAGATATTATTATTATTATTATGATTATTAAGAAAGGCAGTGCATCATCTAGGGACTGTCTGTCTTATTTCCATGGGTCCTTAATCTTGTCCCCCAGGATGCGACCCACACCAGTCGACTAACACCCAGGTATCTACTTGCTAGGTGAACAGGACAACAGGTGTAAGGAAATGCTTGGAAATGTTTCCACCCTGCCAGGAATCGAATCCGGGCCCCTCAGCATGTAAAGCAAGAGCTTTGCCAGCTAGGCCACAGGGCCCCATAGGCCACAGGAAACTGGTAACTCTTTAACACCACAATAGGATTACTGGTGTCTTTGTCTCAAAAGATAAGCTTTTCTTTGGATTTTTAACCCTGGAGGGCTAGCCACCTAGGATAACCCAAGAAAGGCAGTGCGTCTTATTTCCATTGGTGTCCTCAATCTTGTTCCCCAAGATACGACCCACACCAGTTGACCAACACCCTGGTACCTACTTGCTTGCTAGGTGAACAGGACAACAGGTGTAAGGAAACATGTCCATTGTTTCTACCCTTGCTAGGAATCGAGCGATGGACACAGAGAATATGAAGCGAGAGCATTACCTACCAGGACACGGGCCACTTATTAGATAACAGGTATATCTTACTGCTTCTACTTATCCAACCCCTCAAGGGAGGTTCCATGATGCTGGTGAGGGGCTGTTTCTAAGGAATTGGATCTGTGTTTCAATTCCCTGAATTAAGCCTGAATGACTTCCATCCCCCCACAGGTACTGTATAATCCCTATGGGTTTAGCGCTCCCCATAATAATAATACTTATCCAATTCATACTTCACATACAGTTGTGTATGTTGGCACTTTCATCAGAGTTTTCATCTAATCTCTTGATAGTTCTTGTTCTTATAGTGATAGTAACATTTGTGATCTGGTGTCATGTTCTTTGAAAAAAAAATATAGCTCATAACATACACTGTACTGATAGGTTGTATTTCCTCTGTTGCAGATCACAGATTGAAACAGTGATGCAGGTGGTGAAGTGCGAGATCATCTCAACCACTTCTACTGATGAGTTGGATGCTTATGTGCTCAGGTTTGTGCAGAAAATTTTATTACTGATTGGGAGGTTGGAAGAGCCTGTACATGTGCACTTGATGATTATGATACATAGCTTATGAAACAGCATGAATCAAAGTGATATAGGAGGAAATGTCATGGAAATTTATATGATAATGAAAAAGAAATTGATACCCTTCAAAGACCACAACACTGTAACTACCGCATCTGCTAGGAAAATGGTAGGAAGGATAATGAGAACCTTCAAAACTTGGGATGCCAAACCCATAATGATTCTCTTCAAATCACTTGTTCTCTAGCTGGAGTACTGTTGTACAATAACTGCCCCCTTCAATGCAGGCGAGATTGCTGACCTGGAGAGTGTACAAAGAACTTTCACGGCACAGATAAGTACACGGCACATATAAGTACGTTAGAGCACCTAAAGTACTGGGAATGGTTGAAGGCCCTTGATCTGTATTCCCTGGAGTGCAGGTGAGAGATACATGATAATATACACTTGGAAAATCCTAGAGGATTAGTACTAAAATTTTACACGAAAATAACTCCCTATGAAAGCAGAAGACTCGGCAGGAGATGCAACATTTTCCCAATGAAGAGCAGGGGGGAACACAATAAGTGTCTGGGGCCCAAGACTGTTCAACTGCCTCCCAGCATACATAAGGGGGATTACCAATAGACCCCTGGCTGTCTTCAAGAAGGCATTGGATAGGCACCTAAAGTCAGTACCTAACCACCCAGGCTGTGGTTTGTACGTCAGCTTGCGTGCGGCCAACAGTAACAGCCTGGTTGATCAGACCCTGATTTACCACGAGGCCTGGTCTTGGACCGAGCCGCAGGGCATTAAGCCCCGAAACCCTCTGCAGGTAAACCCATTGATTACCAACTGACTTGGTCTGTCATGGAGATGTACACACAAGGGGGCTGGAAGCATGAATCAGCAGAAAAAATGGGAAGTATTGTGTGAAAAATAAAGAGTCCTGATAAACTACCAAGCTTTTATAAGAAAAATTTGCAGTAGAATGCTAAGCAGCAATCAGAGTAGGCCCAGATGTGGACAAGACTCATGCTAGCTGCATTAGAGTCCTGTATAGACAGCAACCATCCACAGAGGCAATACTACCATCCTGTCATATGGATATGAAGCAACAGTCTCTTAAGTGGGATTTGGCACTGGTCCACATTGAATTGCATGTGCTACTTTTCTGACTACAACATTAACTTGATATAAATCATCTCTTGAAGCTAGTTGGCCTATCTATTTTTTTTTTTTTCGTATTCACTTATTTTGTTTTTAATTCATTAACTGTGGCATACCCAGAAAATAAATTTTACTGTGTGGCAAGATTTTGAAAAACTACATTTTCTTTCTTGCATATTGAAGCTTCATTTTTCTGAATAGAATAAGCCTAAATTAAGTAGAATTAAATCTTATGATTTAATGGTGTAGTTGGTGAAAAAAGGATCACTCATTGGCAAGAGCGACATAAATGTGACAATATTTACATGTTACAATTTATTAATGCCAATTTATTTTTTTAATTATTGTTAATGTTTAGCACTATACATGTATAATGGAGCTGGTTGTTTTTGTTCGCCTAGCAGTAGATAAGTACCAGGTGTTAGCCTACTGGTGTGGGATGGCATCCTGAGGACAAAATTGACCTAATTTGCCCGAAATGCTCAGCATAACAAGGGGCTTTCTATATAGTAGTACAGGGAAATCCCGGGTTTCAGCTGTAATCCACTCCAGGAGCTAGGCCTAAATGCGAAACGGCCGAAAGGCCGTAAGAAATAATGTAAATAAAATTAATCTGTTCCAGACCCACAAAAATATTCACAAAAAAATGCATTTTTTAAAATAATAACTATAGTTTTACATACACACAACACAGATAAATACATGCGTATGTATTATATAGATAAATTAAAATTTAAATAAACATTTAAAATAACATTTACTTACCTTTATTGAAGAGACTTGCTGGCATCTGGAAGATAGGGAGGAGGAAAGAGGGAGGGCTTATTGTTTGGAAGAGGAATCCCCTTCCATAAAGACTTTAGGTAACAAGTCCTTATCTGAGGTTACTCCCCTTCTTTGTCTTTTAAGGCCACTAGGACCAGCTTGAGTCACTGGGCCCCTGTCTCACAAAATAACTGTTAAGAGTGCTCTGTTTCTGGCATCTCTTTAAGATTTTCCTGAAGTGGGACAAGATTTTGTCATTGAACATGTTGCAGATATGGCTTGTTTCAGCTTGGTCAGGGTGATACTTTCAACAAAAGTTTGCAACTCATTCCACTTTGCACACATGTCCTTAATCACTGAAAAAGGCACCTCCTTCACTCCCTCTTCCTCCTCTGAAGCAAGTTCCTGAGCTGTGGTCTGATGCTGTTCCAGTTGAAGCTCTTGCAGTTCATCAGTGGTTAGCTCTTCTCTGTAGTCCTCCACCAACTCTTCCACATTCTCTCCACTCACCTCCATGCCCAATGTCACAATACCTTCCATAACAGGCAGAGGGTCGGCAAGGTCAGGGTCAGCCTCAAACCCTTCAAAATCCATCTGGATGACACATTGTGGCCACAATTGTCTCCAAGCAGAGTTCAAAGTCCTGGAAGTCACTCCCTTCCAAGCCTTATCTATAAAGCTTATGCAATGGAGGATACTGAAGTGCTTCCTCCAGAACTCTCATAAGGTCAACTGAGTGTCTGTGGTCATTTAAAGCACCTTTCAAACACTGCTTTGGTGTAGAGTTTTTTGAAGTTAGAAATAACCTGCTGGTCCATGGGCTGGAGGAAAGGAGTGGTGTTAGGAGGCAAGAACTTTACTGTTATCAAACTGAAGTCCCTAGACAATAGGTCTTCCAAGTTTGGAGGATGAACAGGAGCATTGTCCATTACCAGGAGGCACTTGAGTGGTAGATTATTTTCTAGGAGGTATTTTTTCACACTGGGGAAAAACACTTCATGGACCCGCTCTTTGAAAATTTGCCTTGTGACCCATGCCTTATTATTTGCTTTCCACAAGACGCTCAATTTATTCTTGATGACATTGTTTTTCTTAAACACACTGGGATTTTCTGAGTGATAGACAAGTAAAGGCTTCACTTTAAAATCACCACTAGCGTTAGCACAGAACAAACGAGTGAGCCTGTCTTTCATAGGCTTGTGTCCTGGCATTGCCTTTTCCTCCTGAGTAATGTAGGTCCTCTTTGGCATTTTCTTCCAAACCAGGCCTGTTTCATCACAATTGAACACTTGTTGGTGTTTGAATTTTTCAGTCTCTATGTACCCCTTAAATTCACTCACAAAGTTTTCAACCATACGTTTGTCTGAACTTGCTGCCTCCCCATGCCTTACCACACTGTGTATGCTACTATACTTCTGTCAAACCAGCCTCTGCTGGCCTTAAATTCACTAACATCAGCACTGGTTCCAGGCATTTTCTTTATCAGATCGGCATGCAACTGCCTTGCTTTCTCACAAATGATCGACTGTGAAACACTATAACCCACTATCTGTTTATCGTTGATCCACACCTCCAACAACTTCTCAACCTCTTCGACTGTTTGTGGTCTATTTTTGGATAACATGACAACACCTTTTGCAACATCAGCTTCCTTGAGCTTTTTTCTCTTCGCCAGGATAGAAGTGATAGTTTTGTTTTTGCTGTACATCCTGGCAAGCTCCCCAACACGAATGCCACTCTCGTATTTTTCTACTATGTCCTTCTTCACTGCTATGGTGTTCCTCACTTTCTTTACTGCAGGGCCCATGGTGGCTTATTTCACAGCCACAATTATTAGCTGGCTGGCTGCCTGGCTGGCTGGCTGCCTGGCTGGCTGCCTGGCTAGCTGCCTGGCTGGCTGCCTGGCTGGCTGCCTGACTGGCTGCCTGCCTGGCTGGCTGGATGGCTGGCTGCCTGGATGGCTGCCTGGCTGGCAGGATGAGAGCGCAGGGTAATGTTCACTCAAGGATAAACAACGCTAGACTGGCTGACAATGCCTGCACGGGCAGGCACGCAAGTGCTGGCAGGCGGACAGGTCTTGTATGCCGGCCGAAACCCCAGGCAGCAGCCGAAACGCGGGACAAAAGTTGGCCGAGAAAAGTGGGCAAAACCCGAAGCGGCCGATTCCCAGGGCAGCTGAAACCCGGGGTTTCACTGTATGTAATTGATGTAAGCTAGGCCTGTATATATTGTACACGTACAGTGGTACCTCGAGTTGTGTACAGCTCCCAACTTGAACAGTTATGTAAGTGTATTATTGTAAGTGCTTTAGTCTGAAATGGACTAATCTAATTTACATTTCTCCTTATAGGAACAAATTCATTCGGTAACAGCATTTGAAAAGCCTTTTGGAACGAATTATGGCCGAAACTCGGGGTACCACTATACTTGTAGAAATAAAGTATTATTATTAGTTTTTTAAATACATTAGATGTGTTTCAAGGTGTTTATCTCTTCAAACATAGGGTAATGCATAACCTGACATTACTCCACTTGGAATATACAGTATAAACTGAAGCAAATACACCTACCATCCGACTTACGACCTGCTCGACATACGACCACTCGACTTACGACCGTGTCTTTTATGCCAAATTTCTGGGAAATAAACCACTATTTGTGTTGTACACAGTGTTTATCCTAAACCTTACAGTATAAAATACAGTACTAACAGCATAAAAAGAAAAATACCAAAATAAAACAATAAAATAAAGTCATTACAAAAATGTGATGTTGATATTCAGTAGTAAAGTTCGACTTACGTCCATTTCGACTTGCGACCGGTTTCTCAGAACCGAACTCGGTCGTAAGTCGGATGGTAGGTGTGCATTGTTTGAAGGTCCAGTACTCTTGAAAACATCGTTTGACAGTATTGGGTTATCCTAGGTTAATTATCATATTATATTCAGTAAAACTTCTCATTAATGGTCTAATAAGGGGAGGAGGTGTACGAAATGTCAATTGTTCACGATTCTCGAATAATGAATTCAGTATTTCGTGAACTGCTGTGTTTGATAGTAGTGACTGTGAATAAATTTTGTTGCGAGTTGGTGGAGCTGTAAAGCTCTACTAGTAAAGATAATGGAGCTGACTGAAAAGATGCAGTGGGCTTAGATGACATAGATGTCTGAGATGTAAATTTTCACATACCCATGCCACTAGATGCCAGACTCAACCTTCTTTAAGTTTCTCCTTAACACTGAGAGCCAAATGTTTTATCTTGGGCACCACCACTTGCTGTAGAAGCCACTGTTAATTGCACTTTACTTAATAAAGTCAAAAAAAAATGCTCTAAATCCAGGGAAAATTAGAGACTGAATGATGAGTGTGTGTAAGTGAGCACAAACAATAAACTGACGATAGTGGCCTATAACTCAGGGAACAATGAAAATGGACAGGTTCTCACCTCTTTGTAAATGACTTTGTAAATAGTCCAAGAAAGACTGAAATGTCATCGTAAACTTCTCTTCCATGTGCAGGTTATTTGTGTGGTGCAGGCCCTGTAATTCCCACTACCAGGACTTTAAATCTAATTACCTGAATCCCCCCATAAATTATAAATTACTGTACCCTGCTTACTCTCCAAAAGCACATCAATTCATAAAATCCTCTTATCTCCACTTGCTCTTATCAACACACTCACACCAGCTTGGTGGATGCTGAAACCCTTAGCACTAAATTTAACCCCTTTTACCCCCTAGCTCCAGCCCTGTGAGTTTTAGGACTCGCTTGTCGTGAATTCAAACGCCACCTATTTTGTGTTTAGTTGGCAATCATGTTGAATTACAATCTCACGAGTTATGGAGTCCAACCCTTCCCGGGATCCCAGGGTTGGGCTGCAGGGGTAGGAAACTCTTGAAATCCATTAAAAGTATGTTACCTGTTTAGAGGTTAAGGGTTAGTTTGTGTGTTCTTATTACATCATTGTGTCTCTTCCAGCGAGTCGAGCATGTTTATCTCATCTCGGCGCTTTATACTGAAGACATGTGGCACAACTACCCCCCTGTGTTGTCTTCCATTATTGATATCTTTGGTGCAGGAGTATGCAGGATATGACTCAGTTCAGGTATGTAAATAATTTTTACCCATCTAATGTTTTCATTGTTACATCTATAATATACTACATTAAATTATACAATATTGAACTTTTCATAATTGCTGAGGTTCTTTTATGTTACAGTACTTAAGTGATGTTACTTTTCTTGCAGCTGAGCAAATAAAATATTTGTAACCTAAGTGTTTACTACTTATATACAATTGATTCATTTATTCGTTTGTATTTTGAGTTTTTATTTTTTTTTTTGCTTAGATAATGACATAAAATATTTGTATATTTTTTCCTGTTTTCTTCATAGTTTATACTGTTCTGTATCTTTCTTTCTTTCAACACACTGGCCGTATCCCACCGAGGCGGGGTGGCCCAAAAGGAAAAACGAAAGCTTCTCCTTTTACATTTAGTAATATATACAGGAGAAGGGGTTACTAGCCCCTTGCTCCCGGCATTTTAGTTGCCTCTTACAACACACATGGCTTACGGAGGAAGAATTCTGATTCACTTCCCCATGGAGATAAGAGGAAATAAACAAGAACAAGAACTAGAAAGAAAATAGAAGAAAACCCAGAGGGGTGTGTATATATATATGCTTGTACATGTATGTGTAGTGTGACCTAAGTGTAAGAAGTAGTAGCAAGACGTACCTGTAATCTTGCATATTTATGAGACAGACAAAAGACACCAGCAATCCTACCATCATGTAAAACAATTACAGGCTTTTGTTTTACACTCACTTGGCAGGATGGTAGTACCTCCCTGGGTGGTTGCTGTCTACCAACCTACTACCTAGGACTGTTCTGTATATCTACAATAAATACTGTACTGCTACATATAACGAACACATTTAGTTTCATTTCTTTCTTGACGGCATTGCTTATCATACACTTTTATAACTTGTTCGTCAGGCTTATTGTTGTGTTTAATAAAAAGCTTTGTTGGTATGAAATTATTGTCTAAGTACAACATAGCCTGAAAAAATTTAACGATATGAATAAATTATTGGAAAGTTTTCATATGCCATTGCAAAACTGAATAACAGTTGAAACTAGTAAACCTAGATGATGGTACAAGGGTATACAAACCAATTGATCATTATAATTTAGTAGAGCAGATGAGTATTATTTTTTTTTTTATTATCACACTGGCCGATTCCCACCAAGGCAGGGTGGCCCGAAAAGGAAAAACTTTCACCATCATTCACTCCATCACTGTCTTGCCAGAAGGGTGCTTTACACTACAGTTTTTAAACTGCAACATTAACACCCCTCCTTAGCTAAAACAGCTAAGAAAATTCTAATAGTAAATAAAATTTGCAAGAATAGCTTACAATAGTGAGTGAAACATGAACGTCATAGACTTACAGAAAGGAAAGACCCTTTTGGAATGAGCATGGAAAATTTTTGAGAGTTTTTGATAAACATGTGGCAGCATTCTGACTCAAAATCTAATATTGTGTAGTGAAGCTCTTGTCCATACTTTTAAAGCCATTTGAAATGGGAACAGGTTAGGAAGAATGGTTTCAGTAGTTACCAACTTTAAGGAAATATTTCTAGATATACATATCCATAGGTTTGATATAATAGTCTGTTAGCTTTATTGCAAACACTTGTACACTGTTGTCTTTGCTTTAAATTTCTACTGATCAGAACTCCTAAATTTTTTCACATTTACTTTGACTAAGGTCTATATTATTCAGGTGATTAATGTGAAGACAGCAGAAGCAATAGAGGGGTAGAAATGATGTGATCAGTCCATCAATTTTGAAGTACAGGTACACCACTTATATTCCAGCACCTTTGCTTCCAAAGTCTTGCTAGAATATAATTTTTGCCAGACCAACAGAGGTCACATAATAATTCAACAATACCCTTCTGACCCATTAATATATAGAGCATTCATACTGTTAGTATGCTCATTTTAGGAAGTATAGAGAGCTCACATGTATTTGGTAGAGATTGTCAAGAACCATAGGTTTTAATTAAGGTTAAATATATATTATTTTTTTTTTTCTTGTTGGTTTTTAACCAAATTCATGTATACTTTGTGTATGATTCATTCATATATTCACTCTCTCTCTCTCTCTAGTGCACTCTTGCTCTCACTTTCTCTCTCTCTTGCTCTCTTGCTCTCTCTCTCTTGCTCTCTTACTCTCTCTTGCTCTCTCTTGCTCTCTTACTCTCTCTTGCTCTCTCTTGCTCTCTTCTACTCTCTCTTGCTTTCTCTCTTGCTTTCTCTCTTGCTTTCTCTCTTGCTCTCTCTCCTCTTTCTCTCTCTCTCTTGCTCTCTCTCTTGCTCTTCTTGCTCTCTCTTGCTCCTCTCTTGCTCTTTCTTGCTCTCTCTTGCTCTCTCTTGCTCTCTCTTTTGCTCTCTCTTGCTCTCTTTTGCTCTCTTGCTCTCTCTCTCTTGCTCTCTCTCTCTTGCTCTCTCTCTCTTGCTCTCTCTCTTGCTCTCTCTCTTGCACTCTCTCTCTCTCTTGCCCCTCTTGCTCTCTCTCTCTTGCTCTCTCTCTCTTGCTCCTCTTCTCTCTCTTGCTCTCTCTTGCTTCTCTCTTGCTCTCTCTCTCTCTTGCTCTCCTCTTCTCTCTCTTCTCTCTCTTCTCTTCTTGCTCTCTTGCTCTCTCTCTTGCTCTCTCTTGCTCTCTCTTTTGCTCTCTCTCTCTCTTGCTTCTTGCTCTCTCTTTGCTCTCTTCTCTCTCTTTTGCTCTCTCTCTTCTTGCTCTCTCTCTTGCTCTCTCTCTTGCTCTCTCTTGCTCTCTCTCTCTCTCTCTCTTGCTCTCTCTTCTCTCTTGCTCTCTCTCTTGCTCTCTCTTTGCTCTCTCTCTCTCTCTCTTGCTCTCTCTCTGCTCTCCTTGCTTCTCTCTTCTCTCTCTTGCTTCTCTCTTTGCTCTCTCTTCTCTGCTCTCTCTCTCTCTCTCTCTCTTGCTCTCTCTCTTTGCTCTCTCTCTCTCTTGCTCTCTCTCTTGCTCTCTCTCTCTTGCTCTCTCTCTCTTGCTCTCTCTCCTTGCTCTCTCTCTTTTGCTTTTATCTTGCTCTCTCTGCTCTCTCTCTCTTGCTCTCACTCTCTCTTGCTCTCTCTCTTGCTCTCTCTCATGCTCTCTCTCTCTTGCTCTCTCTCTTTCTTGCTCTCTCTCTCTCTTGCTCTCTCTCTCTTGCTCTCTCTCTCTCTCTCTTTACACAGGGTTTGACAAGGTTAGGTTAAGGATCCCTAGCTTTATTGACAGGCTATTTGCAGGTTAAGGATTCGTAACTTCATTAACACGCTAAGCTAAGAGCTGTTACCTACATTAGCTCATTTGAAAGCATTTTTATTGTTGTGAGACATACAAGTAGGGAACAAGATGAAGTTGGAGCCATCTGTGGGCCAGTATTTTCATCTGATCAACTGAATTTATCTCGTTGACATCATAATGCTGTATGAATGTGTTCCATACTCGAGTCATCCTTGGGATTAATGATCTCAGATAAAGTGATGTTCTGGAGAGGGGTACAGCCAGAGTGAAGTTGGTGCTCTCTGCCTGTCTTGTGGTATAGAGGCTTCCTTCACTCTGTCCTCGAAGTGGATCCAAGTGTGGTACTTTGACAGTATTGGCCTTGTACATAACAGTAAGGCCCCCTCTACATCCTTCCTGAGTTGAAGGCTCTGCTGAAATGGCAGATCTATCCAAGATGGGTCCAGGTGAGAGATGATGCGTCTTGCTCTGTTCTCTACTCTGTCAATCGCAGATGAGATGGGGGGGCAGGCAAACCAAGAAAGTGGAGCATACTCAAGGTGTGAGCGTACTTGTGCCTCATACATAATCTTGCATCCCCTACTGTCGAGCAAATGCGAGACATGTCGAAGTGCTGTAAGCTTCCTGGCTGCCTGGTTTGTATGATTTACAGTGTGGTTCTTCATGGTCAGTTTGGAGTCAAATTTCACTCCAAGTATATCAACTTCTTCCCTGGGTACCAACACTCTCCCAATCATTCTTACTACTGCTCCGACATTACCATCATGGTGCCTAGCGACCATCATCATTTGTGTTTTCTCAGGTGAACATGTTACCTGCCATCAGTTTCCCCAGGCCGACATAGCTCTTAGCTGGTGATTGATGTAGCTTAGAGCAGCTGGCATTTCTTCTCTTGGATAAGTGAATGTCAGTGTACAGTCGTCTGCATATGCATGGGATTCTGGGATGAGATGAAGAAGGTCATTGAAGTAGACATTCCATAACAATGGCCAAAGCACACTTCCCTGTGGAACACTTGCCCCAATAGGATGTCTTGCTGATTCTGTTCCATTGAGAACTACCCTTAGAGATCTACCCTGAAGGTAACCACTGAGGATACACAGTGTAGAGCCTGCAATTCCCAGTGCTTGCAGTTTTGCCAAGAGGCCCTGGTACCACACTCGGTCAAAGCACCAGCAATGTCCAGTGTTACCAGAGCTGACTTTGAATTCATCCAGTGACTGGTGCCATTTAGTGGAGAGGTTTAACAACAGATCAGCAGCAGAGTAACCTTTCCTGAAGCCATATTGACAATAACAAAGTAGTGCGTGATAGTCGAAAAACTCTTGTCAGTCCAACAAATCAAAATACATTTTTTGTATGACTAACTTTAGGAATAATTATCAGAAATAATACTGTATTTAACCCTCACTGTCCAAACATAGATCTACGTTTTTACTGTCAGGACTCTGAATATTTTTATTTTTTTAAATGAAGAGGGCAATATTCTACATGTAATAAGATAAAAAAAAAAATGTAGGTTCAGTACTTACCAAGATATGAGCCCTTAAGTTGGCACTGACTGCTCAGGTGACTGCAGCATGGAGCACTGCTGCTTGTAGAAATGTTAAAAATTTATCTTTTTTTTTTTTCAGTTCTTTTGTAATTTTCGTAGTTTTATGATTGTTTTGTTGCAGATCTTTTGATTTCATAGCCAATTGTTGAGACACAAATGTTTGGTACGGAATTAGTAATCATACTGTCGCAAACACATGTTTACACTGATAGATGAAGTTGTACACCT